GCTTTTAACCAATGGAATGTCGGTGAGTTTCCTTTACACTTGTCTCCATTTCCATGTCATCAGCCAGGAGTACGTTATTTTATTAAAGGCAGAATCGACAGCAGCCATTTGACAAGTACAGTGTGTATTTTTTTATTTTCTTCCCACTCATTTATCAAAATGCTACTCATTTATCAACCTCGGAAGGAAGAGGGGCGAGTGATCTCGACCGGGGCTCGAACCCTGCATCTTTCGGCTTTGAGTCATGATCTACCGACCGAATAATGAAACAACGTGTAGTAAATTCATTGCTTAGGGAATTCATGGTACAGACAAAGATTGCCAGTTAAGGAAGTCGAACTCGGCACCTCATGAGTCCAAGCTAGAAGCCGACTTCAACGAACTGTGCCACCATCTCACTGTCAGAAATTGAACATGTCATGACTATACCGACTCGTCGGTAAAGTTCTTCTTCATTTTAGCCGAGTGAGTGTGTGGAGCGATTCTTATACCTGCAGGAACTGGCTAAAGGAAGTGGCCATTCGGGAAACTGACGTTTGTCATCGCGCATGCCAAAAATAGTGGGACATGGAAGCACGACTTTTGGTCGATCTTTATTGACCCCGTTATTGTCTGGTTTACTATATCGGATCATGCTCAAGCTCTGACTATCCTTCCGCTAATCAGACAGAAGTATAGTATGTTGCCGCCGCGAGGGAGTCAGGAAGATATCTGTAATTCAGGAGGTTGGTCTTGATTTATTATAAAAGGTTCGCAGAGCCAGCAAAATACGATCATGTTAACCTGCCAATTGGTTTCTGCCTTCAGCGGTACAGACGTTCTCTGATACAAGGAAAGTTCAGCCGAATGGGCAGTGATACCATCACCCGCTTTTGAAGGAGATGGTCGATGTTCATGAGAAGGCTGCCACAGAAGGTCGTATAAACCGATCTCTCAACATTGCCCGATATCAAAACCAACGACCTCTGGTCGATATTGTGGATCCGCTCAACCAGTGTGGTCGCGAAGACGATTTACGCGATGATCGACTGCCTGACGGTCGTAGTGGCAAAGGGGGGAAATCACCTGGTGAATGCACGCAGATGAGTAACACCAAAATGTCGTCTCATTTTCCAATGATTTTCGTGGTTACACAAAATGTGAAAAGCGAAAGTGGTTCCTATATGAACCGAAACGCCCCCCACGTAATTTGCTAAATTCAATCAAAAACAAGTATTGACTTCAGCATGAGCGCAACATGATTCACTGTGTATGCTCATTTCTCTCAAACTACTGTTGCACTAGATCAAAAATGCCAAAATGTACCAGTGTCATCAAGACAACTAATTTCGCGGTAGTAACATCGCTAATTCAAGAAAAGTCAAGCTTGTTAGCCTGTGCAACGGCTGTTGCTATCAGCAAAAGCGCGTCCGTTACTCTAGAATCATACGGGCCCGTGAAATGTATATACACACAAGATTAATGGCAAGTCAGAATATTATGTACAAGTAATGGTTCTCGCAGCTCAGGCTGTCCCAGAGTCCTTGCCAGGAAAGGTGGAATGAATGGTCGGTACAGATCTGTCCGAGCTGCGAAAGCGTTCAGCCGGCTGCCGGTGCTGATGCAGGGACAGTGCACGTTGAAACATCGGGTACAGTAGGTGACTGTCCTCATCCAGCGTACTGCGACCCAGGCGATAGGCAGTTGCAGTTGTTATTCTCGCAATGCGGCGAAGAATTTCTTCGGCGGGGATTTTGCTAATCCTAGCGATCAACAGTACGGCTCGACGCAGTAACCTGATGTCCTGAAGAACCTAATTCACTCCCTACCTACGATTCTGAGTCCACCACTTAAAATACGCTTCAAAAATAACAACTTAGCGCTTTATCCGAGTCAAAATACGTGGACTGCTTTAAATTGCGCGGAACAAGCACGTAAAACCTCGAAGCAACTACATAACCCTTCGTGAGGTAAACTATACTAGCAAGCCAGATATTCAACATGAACTACACAACGGCGAGTCTCATTGAGTCTTTTTTGAACGGTGCCCGGCGGAATGTAATGATTATACGAGGTGATCTGTCGTGTCGTATTCCCGAAATTGTGCTGACGCTGAATACGAGATAGAATACATGCTTTCAAAATCCTTTGGAAGTCTCAAAGCGCTCGTGCAGACAAGGCCAAAGAAAAGTTAGTATCTCCTTCATTAAAAACGTTTCTTCTGACGCGCAAGTTTCGCAGAAAAGTGTAATATGCCCTGACTAAAATTCGTAATGTTTCAGCAAACATGTTTCGTGCGTTTCTTAACATCAACCTCCGCCCTCATTGTACGAAATCCATTGCACTGATATAAAATGTTTGACGACCGAGAAATGAACTCATCATGAATAGCCTCCTCCGTTCTCGAGATTTGCATAGTCTTTAAACGCGACATTTGCATAGCCTTGAAACGTGAATAACCGGTAGGTTTTCTATTAGTACTTTCGAGCGTATAATCTGTCAATAATGCAGAGAATTTTGCACCCCGTCATGTCAGATATACGGGTGTACGGATTTGCAATTACATGCAAATTTTTTCCATAAAAGTATAAAGAAACTAGTAGGTTTCAGGTCTATATTTATCAAAATCGTCATCGACTGCTTTAAATCTTTCGAGTTAGTTACCAAAATGGGTTTGAATATTTGGTTATTAATGAAACATGACACGTCAGGTAACGAAAGAATATGCACGCATGAAATAGATAATGTACGCCATTTTTAGGGAAAATATATGCCTATATGGGGAATGCAACTACTTTCTACAAGATTTGCTATTTAACACAGTCTACATGTGTGAAATTACGATAGTCCGGAAGCAGGGTCAAAATGAATTTCATCGTCAACGTTCCCTGCAAACTGTATTCTGCGTTCCCTTTATGTCGCAGGGTCCTCCGCACTGTTCCGTCAAAACAGCTCTCCATTATATCCCTTTCTAGGTGCAGGAGTTTCTGCATCTATACCGTATCGCTCACAATGGCCTGTATTACTGTGCAGGTTTAAAATGCACGTATAATGATTATAAATTTTTGAAATTTCGATAGCAGCCGTACCACATAAGCTAATAAACCTGATTTTGCTGATGCTGTGATGAAACCTTGAAACAAGTTTTCATCGAGACAATACCAACGAAATGTCGTCACATCAGGTTCGATGCGGACCGGTACCGATGTTCATACATTACCGACTGAAAAACGAAGAAACGAAAATTAAAGATAACCGCAAAGCGAAAGCCGCACTAAATTGATGTCTTTCGAACTCAAACAGGTTGAATACAACTTCGGATGCAAGTGGATAGGAGGAAATGGGGACAAACTGGCGGCTAGGGTCAAGGTTTACGCTTGTCAAATTGGTGAACAAATCGAAATTGCATATAAGTATACCGGAATGATCAGGGAGCAGCACATTTTGCAGCAATCTGTGCATTCTAGAGGCATGTTGGCAGTGAGCGATTGTTTTCAGGTAGTAGAAGAAACAGCAGTGACGAGAATGGCTGAACGAAGTCGAAGAGGACTGCTTGCGTCGCACGCACGAGAATTCACCTGAAACAAATAAAACACATTCATCGTAGTCATTTCACCAAACCTCCGGTTCGAATTCGTCTGACGAATACGCGAATTTCGGTCGAACAGCGAGGCCAACGGCGACTGCGATTCATGGATACCTTCTATGATAAATTACTGCTGTGACACTGCAGTCCTGCAGTCATCCGCTGGATGTTGTGTACTGCCATAGTCCGAGGTCGGGCTTTATCGTTCCAATCTGATCGAATCTCATAGATAAACAGCGTAAAGGCGCATTAGCATATCATTACTGTGCGCATGTGCCTGAACATCAAATACAAGCTTCTCGCTAGTTTCGAGACGAACTACCATGATAAACGAACGTTTACTCTAGCTTGCAGAGCAGCAATAATAAAATCTCATCTGAAAGAGAACTAACTCTAGGAATACAGCGGCCTCAACCAGATACCTACCAAATCACAGAACTTCGGTAAATAATCTCCTAGCCGTAGTCCATGAGGGGACGCTGATCGCCAGCTTGCCAGTAGTGCTGACGTCCGGCAAGCATCTACTCAAGATCGTAATTTATTCATCCACTTTCAATAGCAGCCATTCCATTTTACAAATGCGAGGGCAGAAATTTTAGGATGCCTTTCAAATAATATTCCTGATCCTCCGCCATCAGAAAGCCGCGTTTATAAAGTGCCTCATAATTTCAATGATCAATTCTGCCGTTACATATAAGTAGTAATGAGCGAGATTCGAAAACAAATGTTTGTCGAGAAGTCTTCTCGACTACCACGCGTCTAGGCTTATAAGTACTGTCGTAAATAAATGCATATCGACGGTTCTTGTTTATGAGCGAGCATCACAGCTGAATGTCTACACCTGCAAAGTAACTCGACTTATCTACTACTTAATTTCTGAATCCTTTAGCTTGAAGCTGGTTGGTCGCTTCATTTTAAAATCAAAGATACCGCCAGCGACTTTTACCTCCAGGAAATTTCCCTACTTCAACAAAGCAACAGAAAAGTTGGGCAGGGTTGTAAGGATGCTCTCGCCATAACGAGGATCTAATCCAGGCCGAACAATACTTTATGTCCATCTTATCATGCTTTCTTCAGGAAAGAATTACTGTAAAGGCGGGAAGAGACTGTCGGCCTTCAGACCAATCAATTTCCGATATTTACGTCAATTCTACAGGGATACTACGGCAGCTACGGAGAATAAACTTTGCTAGCTATGACACTGATGAAACGTTGGATTCAGGGCAAGCACACTGTACGATACGAAACGCAAGTGTTAAACATTTCCTTGCATCCGAGTGGAAGCATTTCTCTGTAACCAATCTCAGAAGAGCGGTAATGGCAAAATCTATTGATCGAGAAAAATAGCAGATTCGAGTAACTACGGTAACGACGTTTCGGCGCATATGCCTGAATGCGCGTAGCTTGCCATCTACGGCGGCAGCGCAACAGTGAAAACACAGATAGGCGCGATCGGAACGGTAGCTAGATCGCCAATGAAATTGGACGATTGTGGAGCCATTGTAAGACCGGAGCTGCCAAATGTCTTTTCATCGATCAATGGAACAGAATCGATATGTCAATCTGAAGACAGGTGTACAAACGTGCAAGAGGAGGGCCAAAATGAGTAAGCACAAAAAAATCTATGTTTGCCCAATAACTCCAGCATTATGGAAAGTCTCACTAGTCACATACGTCTAGCTACCGTAAAACGGTGCCTGCCACTGCGTTCAGTCATGATACAGTGTGAGCAGATTCAGGCGAGAGCGTACGGAAGGCGTCGACGCAGCTTTTGCTGATGAGCCGGGGCTACATGAGTCGCATTCGAAGCCTCACCTTGCTTCAGGCGGCCTTCACGATAGAAGGGAAATGCAGCAAGCAAGATATCAGTGAACAAGCGTTTGCGTCGAGAAGGCTCGCGACGAGCACAAAGACTGGCCATCTACACAACCAAGTGCTCGCTCATTCGCAGCACAAAGATCGAGGAAAGTTACGGCTTGCAGACGCCGCCTGCGCATCGCAATGGCGTTGTTGCTGAGACACCGGAGGCCAGTGCCGTCCATCCCCGTTGGCGAATGTCTTTTCATGTCGAGAAGCCGGGATCGACGCGATCTGCGCGCGGATCTCACACAGCAGACGACAGCCATATCCGACCAACCAGATCCGACTTGGACAGAACCACGACATGAAACATGACGAAAGCAACAGGGGACAGAACGATGTGCAGGTACCGATACCGTT